CCTGTGCCCACCCTGTGCCCACCCTGAGCCCCCCTGAGCCCAACCTGAACCCACCCTGTGCCCAACCTGTGCCCACCCTGTGCCCACCCTGAGCCCCCCTGAGCCCAACCTGTGCCCGCCCTGTGCTCGCCCTGTGCCCCCCTGAGACCACCTGGGAGCAGGGAGTGACCCCTGGGAGTGACTCCTGGGAGTGGGGAGTGACCCCTGGGAGTGACCCCTGGGAGTGGGGAGTGACCCCTGGGTGCAGGGAGTGACCCCTGGGAGCGGGGAGTGACCCCTGGGAGTGGGGAGTGACCCCTGGGAGCAGGGAGTGACCCCTGGGTGCAGGGAGTGACCCCTGGGTGCAGGGAGTGACCCCTGGGAGCAGGGAGTGACCCCTGGGTGCAGGGAGTGACCCCTGGGAGCAGGGAGTGACCCCTGGGAGCAGGGAGTGACCCCTGGGTGCAGGGAGTGACCCCTGGGAGCGGGGAGTGACCCCTGGGAGCGGGGAGTGACCCCTGGGAGTGGGGAGTGACCCCTGGGAGCAGGGAGTGACCCCTGCGAGTGGGGAGTGACCCCTGGGAGTGACCCCTGGGAGTGAGGAGTGACCCCTGGGAGTGACCCCTGGGAGTGACCCCTGGGGAACCCGCATGGTGTCCCCAGCACGGTGTCCCCACAGATGTCCCCCCGGGATGTCCCCACTGCTGTCCCCCCAGGATGTCCCCCCGGGATGTCCCCCCGAGGTGTCCCCACGGGTGTCCCCCCGGGATGTCCCCCCGGGGTGTCCCCCCTCGGTGACGTGTCCCCCCGCAGTGCTGCGCCATTTCCTGGACTACCAGTGGTTCGTGGATTTCTCCGTCTACGCCGGCGCCGTCTACGTCTTCAGCGAGGGCTACTTCTGCCTGGCCAGCCCCGCCAGGGAGACCCACCTGGGCGTGCTCTGGTGCCTGCTCACCCTCCTCTTCTGCCTGTACCCTGCCTGTGGGTGCCAGGCTGGAGGGGGAGCCCCCCGCCCTTGCTTCGCCTCCCAGCTGGGGCGCAAATCTGAATTTCAGGGGTCGTTTGTGATGAATCTCACAGAGGAGGGGCTGGTGGGTTCATGGTGATGTTTGGGGGTGAGCAGAGGGGTCAGATCTGAATTTCAGGGGTTGTTTTTGATGAATCCTGCAGAGGAGGAGGAGGTGATGTTTGGGGGTGAGCAGAGGGGTCAGATCTGAATTTCAGGGGTCATTTCTGACCATTCCCACAGAGGAGGAGAGGATGGGTTCATGGTGATTTTTTGGGGTGAGCAGAGGGGTCAGATCTGAATTTCAGGGGTCGTTTCTGACCAGTCCCACAGAGGAGGAGGGGGTGGTGCTGGGCTCACGGTGACAGCGGGGGTCTCGGCGGGGCCGGGGTCCCCCGGTGTCCCCGCTTTCCTTGACAGCCTCGCACCCAGCAAGGTTTTCCTGACGCTGCTGCGGCACTATTTCCGCTCCGAGGAGGGCGGCGAGCGCTCCGTGTGCCTCAGCGCCGCCCTCGTCTTCCTCCTCCTCGCCATGCTGGCCCTGCTGGTCCGTGAGGAGTACCTGGAGTTCGGCCTGGAGGCCGGTGGGTGACGGGCACGGGGGGGACGGGGTGCTGGGGGCACCCAGGGGTCACTCCCTGCACCCAGGGGTCCCTCCTCACTCCCAGGGGTCACTCCCAGGGGTCACTCCCTGTACCCAGGGGTCACTCGCTGCACCCAGGGGTCACTCCTCACTCCCAGGGGTCACTCCCTGCACCCAGGGGTCACTCCCTGCACCCAGGGGTCCCTCCCAGGGGTCACTCGCTGCACCCAGGGGTCACTCCCCACTCTCGGGTCACTCCCAGGGGTCACTCCCTGCACCCAGGGGTCACTCCCAGGGGTCACTCCCTGCACCCAGGGGTCACTCCCTGCTCCTAGGGGTCTCTCACCACTCCCAGGGGTCACTCCCCACTCACTGGTCACTCACCGGTCACTCACCAGTCACTCCCTGGTCACTCCCTGGTCACTCCCTGGTCACTGGTCACTCACGGTCACTCACGGTCACTCCGCAGGGCTGGCCGGAGTCTCTGCGAGCCTGGAGCCCATCCTGAAGCCGCGGGGCTGGGAGTGGACGTGAGTGGGTGTGGGGGGTCCCGGCCCGTTCTGAGGCCGTTTTTGGGAGGTTTGGGGGTCCCGGCCCGTTCTGGGGCCGTTTTTGGGAGGTTTGGGGCTCCCGGCCCGTTCTGGGGCCGTTTTTGGGAGGTTTGGGGCTCCCAGCCCGTTCTGGGGCCGTTTTTGGGAGGTTGGGGACAGCCAAGCCCGGCCCTGTCCCCATGTCCCCAGGCTGCCGCTGGCCTCGCTGGCCTTCAAACTGGGGCTGGTGGCCCTGAGCTCCTTCCTGGGCACCTGCCTGACCTTCCCGGGGCTGCGCCTGGCACAGACACACCTGGACGCGCTCAGCATGGCCCGGGACCGGCCCCTGACACAGTCAGTGACACCTGGGACAGTGGGGACACCTGGGGGGACACCTGGGGGGACACCTGGCACACCTGGGACAGTGGGGGACACCTGGGGGGACACCTGGGCACACCTGGACACACCTGGACACGCTCAGCATAGCCTGGGACCTGCCCCTGACACAGTCAGTGACACCTGGGACAGTGGGGACACCTGGGGGGACACCTGGGGGGACACCTGGCACAGCTGGGACTGGGGGGACACCTGGGGGGACACCTGGGGGGACACCTGGGCACACCTGGGGACAGTGGGGGACACCTGGGGAGGGAGGGAGTGCTCGGTGCTGGAACCCCCCGGCTCTGGGGGAGGTTTGGGGTGGGAGGGGAGGGGGCCGTGGGGTCCCCATGGGTCCCTGTGGGTCTGTGGGGTGCCCGTGGGTCCCTGTGGGTGCCACCCCCGCAGGGCCCTGCTGCACCTGGGGTCTCTGTGGGGTCCCCATGGGTCCCTGTGGGTCTGTGGGGTCCCCGTGGGGTCCCCGTGGGTGCCCGTGGGTCCCTGTGGGTGCCACCCCCGCAGGGCCCTGCTGCACCTGGGGTCTCTGTGGGGTCCCTGTGGGTCTGTGGGGTCCCCGTGGGTGCCCGTGGGTCCCTGTGGGTGCCAGCCCTGCAGGGCCCTGCTGCACCTGGGGTCTCTGTGGGGTCTCTGTGGAGTCCCTGTGGGGTCCCCGTGGGTGCCCGTGGGTCCCTGTGGGTGCCACCCCCGCAGGGCCCTGCTGCACCTGGGGTTCCTGGCTCCCGTGCTGGTGGTGCTGCTGTGGGTGCGGCCGCTGGGCCGGGACCTCCTGCGCCAGGCCCCGCTGGGCCGGCAGCCGGGCCAGATGTGAGTGCACAGCTGGGGACCCTGTGACCCCGTGACCCCTGTGACCCGTGACCCCTGTGGCAGCGTCCCCACAGTCACCCCGAGTGACACTCAGTGTCCCCTGTGAATCAGGGTCCTGTCCCCAGCCTGTCCCCAGCCCCGTGTCCTGTGTCACCTGTGGATTGGGGTTCT